AAACATAAAACATAAACATTAAAATCTTAAAAAATTCTTGTCTTCACTTCATTTCATTCACCGTCATTGCCTTTCACCGCCTATAAATGCTCCATTAAGTCAACTTGACGGCGTTCATGAATATACGACGATTGCATCTCCGTATATCGATCAATCATACGGTGCATGAAACGACCATCTCTAACCAATGGTTCATGCTCCAATGGTTCTCCATTTGGCCCTATGGGTTTTTCATAAATTCTTGTCAAGGCCGTGTTCATGGGATCCTCTTCATACACCTCTTCAGCTTCATAATCATACTCATCCTCCACAATCATGTTATGGAGGATGATGCATGTCATCATTATGCTCCTCAACACCTCCTCATCAAACATACGTGCCGCACCTCTAATGATCGCCCACCGAGCTTGGAGGATACCAAAGCACCTCTCCACATCTTTTCTGTAACTCTCTTGATGGGTAGCAAATAATTTTTGCTTCTGGGTTCGGGGATGTGGAATTGATTTCACAAATGTTGTCCACCTCGGGTAGATGCCGTCAGCTAGATAATACCCAGTTTGGTAGACGGTATTATTGATTTCATATGTGACTTTCGGGGCTTCTCCTCTCAAAACATCGTTGAACACCGGGGATTGACCTAGGACGTTCAAGTCATTTTGTGATCCAGCAACTCCGAAGAAGGCGTGCCAAACCCATGTATCGAATCCTGCAACAGCTTCAAGGATGATACTTTTTTGGCCTTTCCGATTTCCGTAATCTCCCTGTCAAGCGGTTGGGCAATTCTTCCATTGCCAGTGCATGCAGTCGATGCTACCAATCATTCCTGGAAATCCTCTCCGTTCGGCTTTCTGTAGAAGTCGTTGCAAGTCCCTGGGCGTAGGTCTGCGCAGGTAGTCCCTGGTGTACAGATTTTTGACTGTATCGCAAAATCTAACCAAACTCTCCAAAGCAGTGGACTTCCCCATCCGAGCAATCTCATCCACCTGATCAACAGATGCACCATACGCCAACATTCGTATAGCAGCTGTGAAATTTTGTTCGGGAAGCATTCCCAAAACACCAGCACAATTTCTCTTTTGAACAAAGTATTCATCATAATTGCAAATATCATGCATGACTTTATAGAATAAATGTTGTTGCATTCTATATCGCCCTCGAAAATGAACATCAGAGTACAGAGATGTTGGGATAAAATAATCTTCCATAAGATTCTTACCTCGAGAATGCCTATGTCTGTCAACATTTGCTGCACGGCCTTCATGTGAACCACGACTGCTCTGGTTTTCTTCATCAAGCAAAGCCACAGCCATGAAAAGTTGTTGATCTAGATCTCTCTGGGCTCTTTTGCTTGCAGCTCGTCTATGCCTTCTTTCTCTTATTTCTCGCTCTTGCCTCTCCAAGACCTCCTCCATGTCTGACATTGAGAATGGAATATGGAATTTGAAATCTGAAATCTAAAATATGAGAAATAAATTTTTTGAGAAGATGTAGTGTGAGAGGTTTGTGGAGCTGAGCCTTAGTTTTATAGAAAAATTTAGGTTGATAGACATGACACGTGGCGCAATTTTATAGGGTGAAAATCTTATCCGAAATTTGAAATTCAAATGAAATTTTTTGGAAATGTGAAATTCAAATGAAAAGGTGAAATTCAAATGAAATTTATCTGAAATTTGAAATTCATATGACACGTGGCGCAATTTTATAGGTTGAAAATCTTATCCGAAATTTGAAATTCAAATGAAATTTATCTGAAATTTGAAATTGAAATGAAAAGTTGAAATTCAAATGAAATTTATCTGAAATTTGAAATTTATATGAAATTTAAATTTTGAAATTTATCTGAAATTTGAAACAAAAATTTATCTGAAATTTGAAACTGAAAATCTTATCTGAAAATCTTCTTTGAATATTTTATCCGAAAATATTGTCCAAATTAATTGTTTAGGTAAACAAATTTGTGAAAAAAAACAAAAAATTGAATAGTACTTGCCCTTTGCCCAGGCAACTGCTGGAAGTGCAACTTACTATTTGCAAGGGCAGTCACTATTGAGGTGAATAGTGTCAGCCCTAGCCCCCCCCCTTGCCGTGGCAAGGGTTTGACTGTTGGAAATGCCCTTATTAGAGGTCGGATAGGAAAATGGACGATGGCCTTGGCTGAGTTTACTTTTCGTTACGTGCCACAATTGGTCATCAAGGGGCAAGCTTTGGTTGATTTCTTGGCCACTCACCCTTGTGTCGAAATAGAAGACATGGACTATTTTTTGGTCAACATATTGAGTCTATTTCCGTGGCGTCTCTATTTCGACAGATCTCGAACTTCAAACATGGGTGGAGCAGGCATCATCATATAATCACCCCAAGGTTTTCGAACTCGATATTCATTCCAGTTGGACTTTGATTATTCCAACAATCAGGCCGAGTATGAGGCTTTGATAATTTGGTTAGAGATCGTGAGAGAACTCAGAATAAACAATGTCGTAATTCTTGGAGATTCGATGTTGGTTTTGAAACAACTATCTGGGGATTACAAGGTGACCAGCCAAGCCTTGCTCGACTATCATGCTCTGGCCAACCAAATGATCGAGGATCTTGATGAAGTGACTCTTACTCATCTACCGAGGGAACACAATTCTCAGGCCAACGCTATGGCCCAATTAGCATCAGGGGTTCAAATCTTCGAAGGACTCTCTGAAGAACTTTTCAAGGTAGAGAAACGATCTCTTTCT